GAAGTAACTTTGCATTCGCTGCATTTTAAATGAATGCAAAAATAAAACTTTATACATAATTTGCCCCAAAGCGAAGTCTTAAAGTCCACTACTTTGCAGTTAACTGCTGATGAATTACAACAAACTTTTCATTCCCGTCTTACGTGGATTCACTTGTGATTCACCCTGTATGACAGATTTTAAAGACTTATTTTTACAATTGCAGTTATATAGAAATTGTTCGTAATGGGTTTCCTCTCCATTTACAGTTTACAGGCGGTTATCAATTGTTAATTATCAATAGTCATAGTTAACTAAATGGCGATAAGCTGAAATTGTAAACCATATCGGCGAACATCTTTTGTAGTCAGTTAACGTAAATGTGTATATACATATATATATATATATATATGTATATATAATTGTTTAGTATTTTTTTTTTTTTTATTAATATAGCAAAAGCATCACAAGATATTCATTAAAGTATGTATCAAATTCAATATCTACAGAAACCTCACATGCATATAATGAAATCAAAAAGTACCAGGAATTAGTCTATCCAACGGCCCGGCTTTAAGTAATCGTTAAACTTTGTCTTCCTCATAAATGAATATTGACGAAAAGTAATTCAAGTTTGGCGAACAAGCTTGTAATTCATAGACATGCACTTAAGCTTGTAAGCAGTCTTTCCTAAAATCTAAACAGATTGCTTGGTATTGTGGGATATCGCGTCCCGCACCACAGCTCCTGATCTTCTTTAAAGCTCTTCAATAATTTTCACAAATCGGTTCAACAATGTGAAATCGTTTCTATTTATTATAAAAGAAAGAGAAAGAGAGAGAGAGAGAGAGAGAGAGACGATTATAGTCGAGTAAAGGCGACTATTGAATACCCTACATCAGTTATCACCTGTTGCAGTCATAAAATATCAAAAATTAAAGCCTCTTGCTATATAAAGGTTAACTTTTCATGAGAAACCTCGCATGAGAATGGTTTCGGGAAATTGATCTTTGTGATCCAAACTCACCAAAACCTCCCCCTTTTTCACCCTGAGCAAATTAGACCTTTTTGTTAGGCGAATGTCCCCACTTTTTGTAGGGAGACTTGTGTTGGAAGCCGCTTGAAAATATGATCCTATCGCATAAAAATTTACCACTTTCATCAAATATGACAAAGTATTGTTTGTCGCTGAGCTTCGTCGAAGAATACGAAAAATCGCATACCATTGCTAATATAATGCCCTTTTCAAACGGATCGTATATGGGAAAGCCGTGCTAAAAATGGCCGATTCGATTCATTTTTAATAGGACTCATCGCAAGCGCAAGAATTCTCATCAACAGCATTTCGAAAATTCCAATCGGCTGTAGGTTGAACACAAAACTATAGACGGACAGATGATCTTAAATCCATCTAGAAAATTAATCTGCATCGATCGACAGAACCTACGGATAGATAGATGGGCTCGATCTCAAGGCGTTCTGTCTATTACATAACATAAATATATCCTCACCGCAACTAATGTAGGGTTTAAATATGTCCAAAAGCAGTTCCGAATTCAATTACCATTAACACTAGTATGAAGGGCAATAAAAACTAGGACGCAATGCGAACATAAAAGCATTGTTATTATGAAAATGAACTAAAAGCTATGAAGTCGATAGCAAATTGAAGTTTAGACAACAACATTAAAAGATGCTATAAACATAAAGTTGCTCTGTGGCGGGCAAAATATAAACAGGAATGAAGTTAATGATCCGCGTAAAATGTCGCTTATGGTGTGAAGACTAAAGTGAAAGACGAAATGAATAAAAATTTTCCCGATTACTAAGCGCGGGCAGTCAAAGTAACTCTTTCTCAGTGCGGTTTGTTCAAACTGCATTCACTGCGTATACAGTAGCACTCCTAATTAAGACTTAAAATGTAAGAGGTTAGTGATATCCCTTAAGCATTCCTCTAGCTTTAAGTTTAAACAACTTATAAAGACAAATATAAATATGTATATATATATATATATATGTATGTATGTATGTGTGTATAAGTATTAAAAACACAAAAGAGAAATTTTTAAAAAACTGTTTTTTAGCTTAAGTACATAAAGTATGTAAATTAATATATAAAAATTAAACTTAAAGGCTCCAAAAATCTTCACAAGCAAATTATTCTCCACAAATAATTAAAAAGAAAATTATTTAAGCATGAAAATGTTTGCCAAATTTTTGCTCTTTTTTTTTTTTTTTTTTTAAATAAAAATAATTTTTTAAAAATATAATTTTAATTTTAAAAGGGAAGGTTTTTTTTTTTTTTTTTTTTTTTAAATATTTTACAATATATCATTTTTTTTATTGAAATTTTGGATAAAGCGATATTCATAATAATAATAATAATAACAATGAGTATAATTGTAATAATAAAACAAACGCTTTCAATGATGCATTTAATTAGCTCAACAATAAACAATATATTTAACATAAACTTGGTCTGAAACAAAAAAAAAACAATATACAGCTGAACTGAACACATTTCGCAATGAAAATATTTTCTAAATCAATTAAATTTATATTTAAAAAACTAATCAAGACAAACAGAAACATATCCGCGATTACAACTCATTTGTAATTGAAAATAATTGAAAATCAACCAAATCTCTAATTAATGTTAAACAACATGAGTAAATAAACAAAAACACAAAATTAAAACAAGGTAGAAAATGTAAAACAAAAAAAAAAAAAAAAAAAAAAGGAAAAGAATTTCCGTGCGACAACAGGGAGGGAATATGATGGACAATTAAGTCTTCAAAATAAAAAAGAAGCTGAGTTTCGCTTGATGGCTGCTATAGCTCTCGACACTTAATGTCTTAAGCAATGTGCATCCTTGGCAAAGTTTATATTTTTCATTGAAGGCTTGCCGTTCGATCCAACACAATTGTATTTTCTTGCTAGGGGGGCACAGGTTTAGCATAGGTACTTGGACTATTTTAGTTCACAAGCTAATCAACAAAAGCTGTTAGTAACCTTTGATGAGATCGAATTGTGTAGTCTTCCATTGCAATGAAATACATAATTTGATAATCTGAAGAACTCTTCTTCAGCTGACATCAAGAGCAGTTAGACAAATCTTCCCGAAACCCGAATTCGGGCAACTTCGCCCCAGTGTATGATGAGATTTTACCACGAGTCTCTTGCTTGATTAAAACACCGACGGAAATGACTAAAGCAAAGCATGAATACATTTTTCTTCTATGAGTGACTTCACTAACGAAATAAGTAATAATGAAGACACTGTGCCGACGCCTTTTGTGCAGTCTGTTAAGAACTATTAGGGGAAAAATCCCTAAATAAAACTGTATTCCCTACCGCTTAATAATAATTTGCTTCTCTTAATGCTCTCTTTATTTTTTGATTTATGCGTGACTTCACTATAGCCTACTTTTAGGAATTAAATTTCAATTATAATTAAAACATATTTTTCAAACCAAAAGTATATTATTTATAAAAAATTAATTTTGAAATATTTTTATATAAATATATTTCTTATTTTTTGTCACAAAAATACAAAAAAAAAAAAGAATTGTATCATATCTTGTATATACATATATATATGTAGAAGGAAAAAATCTGTGTATATATATATAAAAAATTAAACGCATGTCGTTTGAATAGATAAAAACTTCTATAATTTTTTTTTTTTAAATGTATTTATAATGTGTATAAAATTTCATTTTGTATATTTTCCTTTTTTCTTTTTTTTTTTTTTTTTTTTAAATATTTAATTAAATACATTCAACAGCCATAGTAAAAATATTATGAAAGAAAACATCAACAACAGCAACAACAATAACAATAGTAAAAAAGGAAAGCCTATGTAAATACTTTAACATTCACATATGCATTAATATATATCTATATATCCTTAATAAATATTGAATATTATCAAGAGCATCATAAATTCATTCGCATTAAATTTATGTATACGTAAATAATGTTTACTTTATCCGATACATTTAATTACTAATCATGAGAGGAGGTTTTTTAACGATACAAAATAAATTTTATAATCAGAAAATTGAGACATTTATGATTACATACGTAAATATACACACAACATATTTATAATAATACATATAAATAAATATCAATCAATTACATATAAAAAGAAAAAAGAAATCACAACAAACAAAAAAAAAGAAAAAAACAGAAAGATATGTTCCACAAAACAAAAACAAAAAGAAAAAAAAAACATGAGACTTTAATTTAAAAATGGATTTTCATTAATAGGAAAAAAAGCTCAAGCGTTGCAAAAGTAATCAAATTGAAGTAAGTCCTTTTTATTCACTTTGGAGCGAACTGTGGATACCCATCGGCTAAAGTCAATCAAGAAAGAAAATATATAATATATATATATATATATATATATATTAATTGTAGGCTGTCCTTGTCTCTTTTTGCTTTGAACATTTATGCGCTCCTGTTGCACACATGTATACAAAATTTTATACCAATACTGTTTTGGGCTCTAAATTGCCCATGGGCTTAAGGGCGGGATAAACACTCTATCTGTCTTGGACTCTTGCCCGGTCCTACTAAATACACGCGTACGCACTTTTATAGCAATATATGTTTTGGGCTCTAAATTGTTCAGACGGATTAAACACTCTTTCTGTCTTGGACTTTTGCACGGTCCTATTATATGTACGCATACGAACTTTTATGGCAATATTTGTTTTGAGCTCTAAATTGCCCATGGGCTTAAGGGCGGGATAAACACTCTATCTGTCTTGGACTCTTGCCCGGTCCTGCTAGATACATTTATGTGAACTTTTATATCAACATCTCCTTTGGGCTCTAAACTATTCATGGACTTATGGACGGATCAAACACTCTTTCTGTCTTGGACTCTTGCACGATCCTGCTATATACACGCATACAAACTTTTAGAGCAATATCTGTATTGAGCTCTAAATTATCCGTGGACCTATGGGCGGATTCAACACTCCTTCAAAGCAATAGACTAAATCGAACTAAATCAACTCGACTAACAACGTTGATCGAGATTATCTCTGATATATATATGTAGGGTTCCCAAAGCGAAATTCTGCATGTTACATAGAAAGGAACACATCAAACATGCCCTATTTACTTTGTAGTTTGTATTAAAAAGTAATTTATTTCAACTGTTATGAGCATATCATGGCCACGTTCTCGGTTGACACTTTATGTTCTACTAAATTTTCGAGTTTATTTTCGGCCTTTTATTTACTATACTTCGAAGTGAATTATATATGTTTTCAATCTCATCGTGCGAAACTAATTTAAGCTCACTCGCGTTCAGTTTGCATTTTTTACGTATATATTTATAGCCGGGGCCGGCAAATGAATGAATAGGCAGACAGACAGACAGACAGACAAGCATGGCCACGAATAATAACGTTATCGTCACGCGAAGTAAATATATAGATTACGATTTACCAAATTTACAGGCATTAAAAACGAACGAGGCAAGTTACACCACCAGGCGCTAAGTAATATATGCCCGATTACATTACATTATTGTGAAATATAATATGAATTTGGTGCGTATGTACTACAAAGTAAATAAAAATATTGCAATCAACCCTTAAGCGCTCCACACCACTTCGACTGCTGCAAGCCAAAATAAAGAAAAATTTAATAAAAGTTGAAAACTTTTTTATGTTCAAGCATTTATTTGCTTTTTGAGAACAAAAAACCGAATATGGACTGTAGCTGTACGCGTCGGGACTCATCTGCTGAAAGCAGGCTAGTATTAGCCATCCTAAGTTAGAGCTAATTTTTGAGTATTGCCTACCAGCGGGGATTCTTGAGTAAAGTAACCGGTGCGGGAGCAGGTGGCTATCTTATAGTCCTGCTGCCCGAGTATTATGCTAAAAATGAAGTAAACCGGAAGTGAAAGAAAGAGTTTAGAGGCAGCTGGTTTTCGACAAAGAACAAACAAGAAATTTTGTAAACTGTGCGCATGTATTTGAATGTTGTCCTAGTCCGATGGGAATTTATCGTCAGCCTTAAAATTGCATATAGAATGAGAGATACTTGGTCCATATGATATTCTACGGCTCTTAATTACTCTTAAAGTGGCTTGGGGCAGATTTGCACTGACTGATATCGTGTAGATTTCCCTTGTAAAGCGTCCTAAAAATGCTTTGCCACTCCGCTACCCATGAATCGACTTGGTCGACTTTCTCGGTGCAATTGTAGATAATTTTTTTTTTCGATTTTTTTATTCTAACGATAAGTCTATATATGAGAAAATATTATGACTAATTTTCATAGAACCATTTACATGAAAAGAGATCCTATATCTGGAGATCCTAGCCAACCAAATTGGCCAGAGTAAACTTTTTTCTAACGACCTCATTATTCTTCAACGATTTTCATGAGTAACAATGAAAAATTCGATTATTTAAGATAAAGCAACATACTCTGAGAATAAGACAACGTGTTGAAAATAGACCCATTTGGTCTCGATTAGAGCAGTGAGTGTCTCGCTTATTTTCCTCACGACTTGCTACAAACAAGAATATTTTATCGTATATAGTTTTACTTTTTATGAGAAGGGATCCTAAAGATAGACTTACATGATCCCTGGTGGAAATTTACTTTAATTAATTTTTAGTTTTTTTTTTAAACTATCTGTACTTGTCATGTACATCTTAATATTTGATCAGTACCCTATCACAGCAGATACCCCAAACTTCCAATCTTAGTTCTGCAACTTCATTGCTGTGTTAAGACTTTGCCTCATGCAAACGTGATTATACGGAAAATGATGCAAACAAAAAAAAGTCTCTTTCCATCCAAATTTTCTACATTAATTTACTAAGTCAAAACACCATTTTTGTTATGTGTGAACCAAAACAAGTACGAAATATACCTAAAAAAAAAAATCTGTGAAAATTACGCTGAAAGCGAAAATAGAGTTTATTTATCCGGACGGATAGATGGACGGACAGATGGGCTTAAATTAGAAAGATGCCTGCAAGAAATCAGATTTAATCATTAAAATTTATTTAAGTTTTAGTCCACATACGCACAACATTAACGAAGGCCAACAGATATTTCATACCTCATGGTAGCACTACGTGAAAGCGTGCTGTCGGAGAAAACAGCTTTTGACACATCTTTAACAAGCAGGAAAGAAGAAGGAGATTATCCCAGATGGAGCGGCAAGTTGTCAGTAGCTGAGAAAGAGTCGTATATAAAAGTTGAAGACGATGAAGGGAATGGAGAGATGGGAAGCGATTATGCTAATATTGTATTAAGTCAATGGGTTCTTTCTCAAGATGATTCAAAGCAATTTTTATGTCAACAGATCGATAATACATTACAAACAAACCGGGCATTCGACTTCAAATGTTCCAATGATGTTTCGTAAAAAACGCTTGTTGTCATTAAACCCAAAACGCAACGTATAACCAAAAATATAACCAAAAGCATCCGTCTAGTTGAAGCTTATAGCAACAAATACTTTTCAACCGCTTTGATTTACCATTGGGAAAATCAAACTGGCCTTTCCTCTTGCTGTATATTAATTTATATAATTTATATTTAAATATAAATAACTTCATTTATATAATAGCTTTATTTATATAATAGCTTCATTATATATTTAAAATGGCTTTATTAATATACATAAAAATATATATAAAAGAAAGAGGCAAGAATCGCGACTTTCAACTCGTGTGTTCAAATCTCAAGTGCGATAGAGTTTTTTTTGATGCTAACGCTTTAAGATATTCTCTGGCTAAATTTATAATAATAATAATAATTTTACAAGTTAGCCTAAAATTAGACCGCCATAATTTTTTTTTTTTTTATCAAATTAAACAAAACAGTAGCTAAATTTTCTGCTATTTGCAGAACGAACGCAATACTCTATGCTAATTTGCAGAAACTTCTATGCTAATCAATAAAAAACATCTGTTGAAATTCTATACAAACAATTTGACAATTTGACAACAAAAAGTAGCAACAGTAGCAGTGAATAAAGCATATAAATAAATAAATAAAGCATATTGTGGCTTTTCTTTCATTTTTTAACTTTATTGAAAATGTTTGGTTATGTTCGTTGTATATGCGTTTAAGGTGCGTTTCTAAAATTCATTATTTTGGGCAGTATATAGGAAACGAAGAAAAACGGAAACATTATTCTTCTCTCTCTCTCTCTCTCTCTCTCTCTCTCTCTCTTTATCTCCCTTACACACACCTACCATAAACATATATAAACTTATTTCGTCATCCAGAAGAAGATAAAACTAAAAAGAAATTCTAACAGGACGTATAAGCAATCTCAATTATTAGACCACTAGAGTTAGACACAATTAATTAATTTCAATTAATGATTGCACCTAAAGATAGGCAAGCAAAGCCAACGTTAAACTCTCTGCTATTTGCGAGCCAACGTTAAATTCTCTGGTTAATTTGCAAAGCCGTCGGCAAATTTTCTGCTTGTGGAGGCTTTGCTTTTTTCATACAAAAATATTAAATTCGCTTGTCTCAGCTAAGTATGTATAGTTGTTATGGCTACTTGTTAAGAGATGGCGCTGTTAGACCAACTGTTAAATAAAAGTTAATATTTTTTGATTATATATTGATGAAAATCAGCTAAAATACATTAACAGACGAATTCAATTATTATTAAAAGCTAGTACAAAGTGTATAAGTGAAAGTAAAGAAAAAAGAAAGCGGATGGCTATCAAATAAAAAAACTTGGAGAACAGAATGCGAAAAGCATAGTGGTGGGTAAGCGAGATTTGAACAATCAACTGCGCTTATAACACGGACATGATCAGAAAGTAATGGGAAGAGAGATATAGGCAATGGCCGCAACTTGGAAGATGTGTCACTAAGCGTTATTCCCTTACCGATCGAACAATCCCTATAGATACCATTACAAACCGGCCGCAATGAGACTATGATTAAACGGTCTGCGAATTGATTGCCGAGTTGATAGTTGCGTTTCTTGAACTCTTATGAGGTGGCCCCAAAATTAAAATCAAAACGAAAAATCTCTTCTGTTCCGTTTCCATTCATTTAGTTTATTATAATTTCACACATATTTGTTTTAAACTCCAGAGTTTTGCTTAATCCACGGGCGTAAGGCACCGACGTATGTGTACATAGACGGTTTACCGGTTATCCCGCAACCAAAACCCCATGAAACGATACCAAAAAGCATATCGTTGACAGTTAGCGGGCCGCCACTGTCTCCCTGACAAGAACCAACTTGACCGCTTGGATGTCCAGCACAAATCATGCGATCCGTTATACCGGGTATATTGTGAGGATTACAATAGTCGCGGCTCCACATTTGAACATAAGCATACTTGAGCTTATTCGGCAATTTAAGATCACTACTCACAGCACCAAAACCGCTTATCGTAGCTAAGGTATTTGCCGCATAATTACTGTTCATATCTGATAAATGAATTTTATTAACAGTCGAAGTATTAAAGTTTGCTGGAGGATCCAAAGTTAACAAAGCTATATCGTAGTCTTGTGTGCGACGATTATAATGCGGATGGACAATAATTTCGGTTACATTGAAAGTCTGCCCATCGCCAGCTAACAGATCCACAGTACCGGCTACCACTTTTATTGCATCAGCGTGCTGACCAGTGGTACAATGAGCAGCAGTCAAGACATAATTTTCCGATATTAACGAACCACCACAATAATGTTTACTCTTACTCTTCACTTGTAACGAGACTTGATGAGGAAACTGACCAAGAGTTGCAAAATGACCGCCTATTATACGCGTATTACAGGCGACGAAATCAAGGTCTAAAGCAAAAGAACATAAAAACAGTAAAACGAACATAATAACAACGACAAGACTTTAACGAATGTTTTGCGCTTCTTCATGGAAGGGAGCTTTTATAGGTAAAATTTTCTTAAAAGGTTTTAATGATTTCTATACATATAACCGAAGGGTAGCTTGTAGTTTGACAGATAGTTTATAATATGGTGTAGCAGACATCGTGGACATACTTAAATGCATATATATACATATACTTGTAATAATGCAAAGATGTCATCTCTGCTTTCGCGTGTACGAATTTATTCTGGTGCGACCGGAATTTCCAAGCATCAGTGTTCCAAAAATTGACCAAGTTCATAAGTGTTGGAGAAGGAGAAAACTGAAATACAGTCACAGTTATCGCATTCTCGATGAGCATGAAAACCTTTCAAAATTTTCTTGCGATCAATAAATTATTGGACTTGACTAAAACTATTCCCCGCCCGTAAGGGTTATATATAACATCATAATTCTGGTTTATGGAAGCCAGTGCTTCTAGGTTTACCTGCAACTATTGAGCTGGATAATTAAAAAGTTTGCTTGTGAAGGCGACCATAACTCTCAGAGTTGCTTTATTTTCTTATCTTTCCGCTCCTTAGGCGGTCTTATGTTAATAAACCATTTTTAAGGTCTTTTTATTGACCTCGAATTTCTAGTTTATCGCAATCATTTTCACACTTGATTTTCTTTTTTAATTAAGCTAATCGAAATCTTTGTTTACAAATTGTTTACAAATATTTTATTGATGAAAAGAAAAAAAAAAAAAAAAATACATACGAAAATTAAATAGTGTTTGTATACAAAGATAATTTTTTTCATTTTTTTTTTTTTTGTTTTTTTTTCTTTCATTTAAATTGATGACCATTACTTATCATCCAAATGTTCTTCCACGTTTCACGTTTATAAACGTTTTTATAATTTTGTACAGAAACCAAGAATTCCTATTACGAAAGAATAGATAACTAATTAAAAAGATTAAAAAAAATATTAATATATGTATATAAATATATTTATATCTTAAGAAAATCCTATCACATCCGCTAGCAAGGGCGAATGCATAAAGATCAACGTGTTTCTTCTAAAATACTCATATCCTTAAGCGGGAAATATTTTAATCCAAGATTTTTGCTAAAGATCATCCCAGTTCTTTGGCCGAGTGAGTTAAAGCTTGATAAAGCTCCATACAGGAAAACTTCCCTTCAAAGTTTGAATCACTTTCCAAAATGTAAATTTTCGCCCTTCATATATAGATCACTGAACCAACCCAAAGCTTCTTCATTTCCCATCACTTTCATCCCATCGCGTCATAGCTTCGACTAAGGATCAGAGACTAGGCGCTGTGGTGTTTACAAAACTTCAAAAACCTACTTATCTCAGTTAAAGGCTTTACATGAAATATACCGCAATACCGCAATATCGGTCGCAATAGTTACGTGCAACTTAGTTCATAAGAACGGTCCTTTTTCGACAGATATTGCCGCTATTGTCTTTCTCATACGGTATCATAACAAAATGTCCTTTTGCCCAAATGAGCTGGTGTCCGCACATCTAAACTTCACCCTGACTAAAGTGAATTTTGAGAATTTAAAATTTTTTCCAAAGATAATTAAAGCGAGAGCTTCCTTCTATAACTTCCTTCTATAACGCCTATAAAAATTGTATAAAACTATTCAGGAGACGTACAAGGGGAGATGAATTTATATTTTTGATACATTTATATAAAAAAGATTATATATTACATTTCAACCAAACCATTTCTGTGAATATATATGGAAAGAGAATATTCTTTTTTTTTTTGAAAATAGGATAAAATCGAATGCCACGCCTATAAAAATTATATAAAACTATTCAGGAGACGTACAAGGGGAGATGAATTTATAAATGTGTACACATGTACTCAATAAACACCCTTACACAAAAACCCACTTATTTTAATATTAAATAAGAAATAGGAATAATTGACAGATAAGCAGATATAGCAAACAAAGGAAAAACTAAGACAACTATTACAACATACCCTACCATATAATGAGCGGAACAAGAACAAAAATATCGATATATACAAGAGGGTTACATACCGGTCCGAACAGTGTTTGTATTACAACATTTTCGGCAGCTAGATTCCTGTTGGTGGCCAAATGCGTTATAACCAAAGGTTTATTACTCTACGTATAGAAGCGATAGTTTGAAAGGCTGCTTAAAATTGTACAATCATATATCGCAATTACCGGCAAAGGTGTGCCATCGGTTTCGAAGCGTTTATGCGGATCGATATGCTGACAATACCAATTTGTGAAAGCCATTGGTATCTCTTTACCAGGGCCGCAATTCTAGAAAAGATTCCTCTTCCGCTTTTATACTATCTCGTTATTTGCTTTTCTTTGTAATTGCTTACCCTTTTATAACACAAGCCCAAGGGCAGATTGACTTCACCGAATTTACGCGAATCGAAAGTTGTATGAATCATAGTCGATAGACCGGATGATTTCGGTGCACTAAATAACATTAAAGGATCATCTTCGGTTTCCACGCATTCCAAACGAAATTGTTGACCGTATTTCAATAATTCATTCTCTCGATCCTTCTCGTCGCCGCTTACGATGCGAAACGAATTGCGAACGCACGGTTTCACCGAGGGCGCTATAGTTAATTCGCATTCATCGTTAATTTTTTGACTATGACGTACGACTCGTTCGTTAATGATGACCGAAAGTGCCGGATGAATATCCGATGAAGAATATTCGCAGACATGCAAGTCAACTGGCATCAATTGTACTACGGCACCAAAGCGTATATTCTCCTTCGGTGCTTCCAAATTGATTTCCTTGTGAAAATTATCAAATAGATGACGAGTTTTCTCAACCAATAACTCGCCGCGATCACGTGAAAGTTTAAATTGCACGATTTTATCCTATTACGGGCATATTTGCATTTAATTTTCTCTTCTCTACTTTACTACAAATGATTAAATGATAATACTAACCGTTTCAAGACATATATCTTCGAACCAATTACCTATACGCACCACGGGTCTATACATTTTATTCAAAATAATTAATTAATTAATACATAAAAACAAAACGGCTCGGGCTTTTCGTTCAATTTATTTTATTTTTCACTCCAAAGAAAAATTGTTTAGTGACTTTTTGATCAAATGAGAAAAAAAATAAAAACAATTTATTGTGTCATCAGAAAGTTCAAAATTTGGTTTTGAAAATTTTGAAAAAAATCGATAAATTTTTTCTTTTTTTTTTTGTAATCCATCTATGGAAATGTTTTTTAAAAGTGATGCCATGCGCTCTTCAGGCTACATGGGGACATTTATTTTACCCAGTAATTTTTGTCATACTTAACTATGTAGTTGTGAGGCAACATATGATTCAAAAGTGCTTGAAAACTTGAAAGAAACTTATCCTCATGACATGTTTGGGTTTCAACTGCACGGCAGGTTGACTTTTTCTGAGTCAAGTCATCTCGACTGAATTCCACGTCTTTGCGGCTTTTATTTAAATGAAAATGCTACTCCTTAGGCTCCCGAAGCTCGGCTTGATGAAAAAATTCTTTCCGCCTTCCATGTAATTCGAAATAATATCACGCAAGACTAGAAAACCAACTATCGGGATATAGCAAAATCACTTGAAAATCGTCTTTTCTATAAAATTCATTCTTTCATGACCTTTAAACCTCTTTCTGATGTCAACTTTATCGCATGGGAGATTAAGATGCTTAACAGACTCATGTGCGATCACACATATGACAAACTTTATTTAAAGAGGCTTGGACGAGTATTATCTGATACATTCTCAGCTGACTCTTTCGAGTCAGCTGAGACTAGACTGCAGTCGAGCCTGCTGCAGTCTAGCCGGTTTAACAGCAGGCTATTGTGCTTTCATCCTAAACTAAACATAATTATGATTGAATTAAAAAATCAATTGCTTTCTTCCATTAATTTGGTAGAAAAAAAGGACAAAAATAAAAAAAACATTTATTAGAAGAAAAAAAAAGTGTTTATAAACACAGCCATAAGGTTTCGCCTAATTTCATTTTCATCATGTAAGCTTGTGCCTGAGTTCATTTTCAATTTATAAGGTCATTGTATGTGTGAATTTATAAATTTTTTATAATTAGTTTAAATATATTTTCTTTCTCAACAATCCTAGCGAGACGCTAGAGAGACTAGACTTTCATTTGAAATTTTCAATATCTATAACAAAACAAATACTAAATCTTTTATGTTCATCTTGAGCAGCTGACTGCCTTTATTAAAAATGTTGGCTTCTCCCTTTAAGTTATCATAATCATAATTAAACGTCTGGTTTTATCTAATAATATCTTTTTAAAAAAAATTTTTATAATTGCATAAATCAATCATTCCTACACAGACATAGCTTGCTGTCAATCTTCTGGTCTCAACTTCAGCATGGAGAGTATCGAATGGGCTATCACAATTTGAAAAATCAACTAACTAATCGAGAGAGATTAAAGGCACTGTATCGTCAATTAATTAATTATAATCATCAAGTGATCTGCATCTATATTACGGTTATCATTATGAAGCTCATAAAAAGATTTAAAAACTTATAACTTTGCTGGGTACATAAGTCTTATCATTTTTATGCCTGTTGCATTCATTCCTCTTTTATGTATCAAAAAAAAAAAAAAAAAACTTATTTATAGAAGCTACAGTCCTAGTATTTTACAATACTTTAATCTATTGCGTTCGTGATTGACACGTGTTAAGCGAATCGTTTGCTTATAAAGCTTTTAAAAGAAGTCACAAATGCTTTATTTCATATTGCCGTCCTGCCAATCCTTTCACCTGGTGGACGGCAATATTTCTTATTCTTTTCCTCAAGCGCACAGCCACGTGACACGCCTTTATTTTGCAACGCCGGCAGCATCGAAAGCATCGGAATTCCTTATCCACTTTTACTTTCTTAGCCCTTTTAGAAATTCTTTTCTTATAGAACTAAATGGTTTTCATGTGGACTTATTTTATCAGATAAGGAATTTTCGCGACAATATTTTAAGCAGCTGGGCTCCCGCATAGCCCAGTAAGTAAGGAGTGTCGTTATCAAGTCGTCATAATTGCGTACAACTCCCTAGGCGCCTAATTTTAGGGCCGACAAAGCGTCCCTTTCTCCCTATCACACCAGACCGCCTTTCCCTTTCCATCGCGCAATCTAAATACATATAATGGACATCTCTTAAACGAGTGACCACATTTCATTTCCACAGCGTCATTGGATGCGAATAGTTTCATTTACTCTGTTACGTCAATCGTTTGCAAAAATTGCTTTTGAGACAAAGCGCCATTCTCTACTTAAATTCTCTTTACGTCAATTTGTGTGAACACATAAAAGAAGGCATTGGGAGAAGTGTTTAATTATTTTTTGTTTAGTAAAGAATAATGCACTTCAAAGTTATTTAATAAAAAGTTCAATAACTCTTAAAAATCCTTTTCACATTTCTGACGCCCATTGTAAGCTTAATCTACACAGAAATTCTTTGGTCACGTTTTCTGCTAAATAGAAAACTATGGCAAACTAGTATTTAAGGCCAAGTGCTTGACGCTTTAATGATATTGTACTTCATGATAACGTCTCTGAAATACTTAAAGATAACATTTTTCAACATACACTCTCAGTAAAGTCAATTAAAAAAGTATCGAGAATTGTTTATTCACATAAATCACAACATTTTAGAAGACAACCATAGATTTTACTCAAGTAAAACTTTAGTGGAGTAAGGCGGTAGTGTCCAAAGGCATCTGTGGTTTAACCGGCTCCAAGCAATGCCGTCCAAGGAAGAAGATATCATTAGCACTCCTCATTTGCTTTTAGAAATTAAAAACATACAAATTTAAAAACAATTAACCTAACCACAGCCCTATACACAGCGTTATAGTTCTGACTTTGGCCAATGAACACCTTGGCTGCCACGTGGATTCATGTCACGAACGGCGATATTTAGTCGTTCGACTCTACTTCATTGTTGACGTTAGCGTAATTTTACAAAACCGCAACAAAGTCAATTTTGCTGGAGGTCAAATAAAAGCTGAAGTGTTTAAAAATTCGTAGACTTTAAAAATTCCCGAAAATTTTTTGACGGAATATGTAACATCCACAAATAAAGACGTCAAACATCGGTAACCTGTACATAAATTATACGCAATAAAAAATCGGAGACCAGATTCACCTTTTATCATATCGTCTATTGATTTACCTCATGGCCTCATCGGAGTGTATTTAACAGCCAAAATAAAGCCTAATCCTTAAAGCTCCGCTTCTATGCTACCTGTAGTATGGTAGCTTAAGAAGATGGTACATACTGATCAGGAAACCGAAACGAGGAGGTCTCAAACACCAGGAAGCGTAGATGTTTCGGAAGCAGACGATTGCACTGATAGTACTGTGCTTATTGTACAGGCGCAAATGAGCATGATGACAAAAATGTATTAGTTTTCGAAGGAGCTAATGCTTCAGTGGCTCATTTGGATGACATGTTCCATATAGTTAAAAATGGTCACATGGATGATTTGGAAAATTTAATCGAAAAGTTCGATATGGAATTAGGCGAAGAACATTCCTACCCAGGATATTTGACACTTACCGTAAATACATATTAGGCATTTCTTTTAAATGCAGATCACGGTGATCCTGACCGGGTAACATTTATCAATGAGATTGAGTTGATTTCAGACTACTTATGTTATATTTTATTCGTTGTTCATTGATTCAACTTGCTGTGGAAAAAGGTTACGAACTTTTTGTTGCCGTCTGCCCTGGCCAGGAATACCGTCTGTCTGGCACAAAAAAAAGCTTGAGAGACCCTACTGCATACAATCGGCGCGCAATTTTGGTTATTGACCCGACCCACTAGCTTTCTAAAATTTGCAAAATTGCGCTACAACCAAGAACCGCCGTAACAAAGACAATTTAAATTTGATATATAACAGATGCGGAGATATATCAACAGATCTCTTATCATTTTTTTTTCATTAAATTTTTCGTTTATTAAAAATGAATTTTAATTCAGGCATGTAGTGGTTATCTATACCCTCTTGCCTTTTTTTGACAAAACCATTAGGCTATTAATGTGGAACTTCTAAAATTTATGTCAAGTGATTTTTCTTGGAAGTGGGCACGATGCCGTTAGGAGAGTTTTTCTTCGACATCATAGAGTTTTTCCGTGATTCATTACATGCTGGACGTGGGCTTGCAAGTAGAAAAAAACACGTGCGCGAACATTGTCATATGCTCTATGACGAAAGTATATTTTCATTAGCAATCCCGCACTTATGTAATAGCAAATATTGGGTTGATTGCATTTTTAAGAAGACGGCGTAAATTGCGAAATTTAGAGAAGTAGGCGAAAACATTAAACATTCAAGCTTTCAAATGGCGAATAATCAGTTTGAAGTCGAATGGAACGAAAGAAGGAGGGGCGTTCAGATCATATACAAAAGGTAATGAAGCGGTTCGTAACCAAACGAATGAGTATTTTTTCGAAACCATAGTGTACGCAAAGGAGGTCAAAATTCTAAAACAAAATAAATTGGATTGAAGCTGAAAAAAGGAGAAAAGAAAAATCAGAACAAAATATATTGGGCTGAAGCGAGCAAGGATGGCGAAGTATATTATCTTGAACGTAACGGAAGGGTCTTTTGCTTGAAAAGGTTTTCACAGTAATCTTATGCACACATTGATAGCAAGTGTACAACTTCAACAATTTGTCCGCAGTGAATGTTGTAAACAACCAAACAAAACTAAGCTCCGGCCCGCTCCGATAGAAATTTTTTTGCATTCTTTCTAAAAATAAATTTGATTTTACGTAAAATAACTTACAATATACTCATTGTCTGCACTTACACTCTCAAATACGTACTGTCTGTCAAAAGAAAAACAAGAAGAAGCGAAAAATGATAAAAATAAAAAATAAAAGTAATAAAGTTTTGTAATGTGCGCAAAACATGTGTTAGTCTCGTGTTCTAATTATTATCTATACGCTTCCACTTTTAAAACAATTTATATCTAACGACGATAAT